CTCGTTCAGTGGAAGCACATGAGGCCCCACCCTGCGGTGAAGACAGGTTCTGGGAGCAGGGAGTGGGAGGACCCCTGGCTGGAAGAGACCCAGTGGGGCCCACTGCCTCCAGTGACAAGTAGGGCAGCAAAATGGCAGCGGCAGCAGCAGCAGTTTTCCTTCGTTCTGGAAACAGCAGGGCATTTACTGCAAACGCGACTCACCGTTTCCTTGGGGCTGTTCCACGTTGAACAGGCAGCAGGTGGTTTCGAAGGCACAGGTGCCTGCCGTGCTCCTGATGAAGCCTGCGGGGAGGGGTGATGATGCCAGCTCGCTGTTCCCATGGCTGTTATGCAAGCACAACTTCCATCTCCTGGACAGACTCCCTGGGTTTCCCTGATGGCAGCAACACTGGCCTGTCCGTCCCTGGAACTCCTTGCCCTGGCCAGGCAAGCATGCCAGGTGGCCGTCAGAGCACGCTTTTCCTGGTGGCTGAATGAGTCTGCTTTCTTGTTGTGCCCAGCACTGTACTGGGGCTGACTACCCTGCAGTCCAGGCCTGGAGCTGGACCTACCACTGCCCTCCACCCTGGCTGACAGGCCTGTAGCAGCCCCAGTGCAGGCCAAGAGCTGGGCTCTTGTTTGAGTCGATGGCCACTTGTCCTTATGTATCACCAGTTCGCAATTTTCTGTCATCTCAGGATATGGGGGGGAGGGGCAAAGTATTGGGACAGGTTTGGTTTTTTAATTTTCCAACCAAGTGGAGAGTTAAGTTGGTCTTAAAAGAAAGCACTACTGCACTTCGTAGCTACGTGATTTTGAGCAAACCACACGATCTGTCTAGGTCTGTTTTCTTCACTGCGAAAGGAAGATGTTAAGACTGTCAAAGCTGGCCGTAGGATTCAGAGTGAATGAAAGTTAATTCTTGCTTTCATCACTACTTTTCTAGCTCATGGCTGTGCCTTTTTACTTTCCTAAGAAAAGACATCACAGCCCTCTCCTTTTCCACCTGTCCCTCACTCTCCCTATCAAGGTTCAGGCAGAGCTGGAGATGAGACTGAGACCCATCGTGCCCTACAGGGCAACCTAGGAGGGCTTAGAAAGGGAAGCCCGATTCCGGCCGCCTTCATCCTACGTTTAGTGAAAAGGGGGCTCGGTCAGGATGGGGTACGTTCTTCTTGCTCGGAACACACATTTAGCCAGTTTTCATAACGCCTAGAATGTGTATGTCTATTTGCACAAGATTGTCTTTTCCTATTTTGGAGTGGTCAGACATTTTATTTTTGTTCAAAATTATCTGGAGTTTTAGACAAACTTGCAAAACTGTGCTTTTATTAAGTGACTTTTTGAATAAACTCTTTGGTATTCTGGAGCAAATGTATTTATTTATTGGTATGTGCAATGACAAACGTGGTATTTTCCCATGTTGACATTATATATGTTGTAGAATTAAGTGTTTGTCTAAAAATACAGACATATATAGACACAAATTAAACTTGAATTGTTTCAACACTGCTGTGTATTTTTTTTCCCCATAAAAGGAGAAGAGCATATCTTTCCTAAAAGTGGTTTTGCACAGCATTCATTCTTCCCCAGGAGCCTCCAGTGAGGGGGTGATAGTAACAGGGATAATAGCTCGTTTCGAACCAGTGACATGGCGGTCAACTCTGTCCTCCTCCTGGCCATGCCTTTCAAGTTTAAGAGGCATCCTACCCACAGGGGCTGGGAAGGGCTGGGAGGACGGTGTGGTTAGCAGAACTTCTGTTGGAGCAGTCCTCTTCAGGGTCAGCTGTGTCACCTAAGGTTCCTAAGCTTTCCCTGTGGGCCTGGCCCTTAGGAACAAGGCAGAAAAGGTCCAACTGGAAGACATAACAGAAGCCCAGGCTGCTGGATTCCTCTGGCCTTGCTCACAGCCTGACCACTCGGCGAGGACCTGGACTGGCTGGAGCATCTTTTTTTTCAGCCTGTGACACCCAAGAGAACGAGAGGTTGCAGTTGTGGCTGGAAGCAAAGGGAGGAGGTCATGAGCAAAGTCACCTAGAGCCATCCCTGGCAGTTAGGACAGCCTTCGAGGGGGCTGAGTTTGTAATGGCTTAGCAGCACATGACTTTGACCAGAGTGATGCCACTGCCACCAAGAAGCTGCCACATGCTTCCCTGAGAAAGGCACTGTAACGGTATCTCATTCAACCCAAGTAGCCCTGTAAGGTGGGCATCATTCCTGTTCGTAAGTGAGAAAAGTTAGAAAATAATCTAAAAAGGAGACACTTGCCCTGTTTCATGGAAAAAAAAAACAATAGAGACAGTGAGTACATTTTTGAAGGGTCAGGGCAAAGCCACCAATGTGTCATTCATGTTTTTAACAGCACTGCTTGAGGGCTGCAGTACTAAATTTTTCTTTGCAACACGAATAGTCTGGATTGAAAGGAACCTTAAGAATGTGGAAATAAGTAAGGTTTACTTGTTTATTTCCCCAGATTAAGAGTTTCCATTGGACCAAAGGCATTTCCTACCTGAACCAGGCCTGTGTCGTGGGGCCTCTGCCTCTGGGAAATAGTATGCGAGGGATATTCTAAAAAGGAAAGAGGTTTTGTTTGCTTAGTTATTAGGCTGAAGGAAACTTTTCAATGGCCATAGGGTGACCATATGTCCAGGACCGGCCTGCTTTACACCTCTTATCTTGGTATGATTACTACTAAAGCTCCCTTTGCCCCAAATCTCCTAGTTTGGACCATGGTTTATTTGCTCATCCAACCACAGAAGGTGCAGAGAGTGGTTCCTATGGGCCATCACTTCGAGGCCATGCACTCTCTCCTTGGTGCACCTCCCCGGCTTGGCTTCTGGAGCTCACTCACTGGCACGGAGCTGCTGATATGGGCTGCCACTGGGACCAGGCAGATCTCCTTTCCAGGGACCACCAACCAGATTTACCAAGCATGGTCCCAGTGCAGTTTTTCCCTAGTTCAACTACATGCCCCATAGGTAGGACGCATGTGCTCTGCCACAGGCCCCAAAGGCCACTGCACACCTAGTGTCGGGCAACTGGTCAAGTTCGCAGACACCTCATTCTGAGAAATGAAGACCATGAGGAAAGAGACAACCTTGGCAACAAAAACCAGTCCCATTGTTTTGGTTGCCCTGGGTCACCATCCCTAAAGAATAAAATGATTCTGGAAAACCAAAAAGGATTTTCTAAATGCCAAATGACTGAAAAGTACATTAAAATTCCTGGCATATAAATACATAAATAGGGGCCAGCTGGTGATGTGGTGGTAAAGGCAACTGGATCCCACATGGCCAACTTTATGGTTCAAGTCTCAGATCTGGCAGCTTAAGAATGCATCCCCAAAATCCCAAGCATGGAGGAGAAGGGACTGTGGTATGGCCATCTCTATAGGGTGATTTCTCATTTTCCCTCTGTGTGTCTCTGCAAGTACAGGTGTCCTATAGCAAAAACTGAAATATACACACATACATATGTACATAAATACATCCCTGATATAAAAGCCAGCCAAGAGTTAGGGCAGCCAGAGCTATCCTGAGGGCTTAGTGTAACACTTATGGCAGGAGTTATTTCCCCGAGTTGTTTTTTCCTCAAAGACTAACATTCAAAATAAAAAGCTAGTTATGCAGCACTTACGACCAACTTCAACAAAATACATGGACATCCATATTCTTTTATACTCCACTGCTTCGTCCAATAGTACTTTTTTTTTTTTTTGGAGAGATTTTCGCTATAGGGCATGTGCGCTCGCCAGACAGAGAGAGACATTAGAGACAGAAAGCGAGCAATCACCCCCCCCGCCAGGGGGGATGGTCATGCCGCAATCCCTTCTCCTACATTTTCCTCTCGGGATCTTGGGCACGCACGCACACGCGCCCGGTGTGAATTTTAAGCCACCAGGTCCGGGACGCGAACTGAGGTCGACTACGTGGGTTTTTGAGAGGTTTTTGCTATAGGGCACATGTGATCACCAGAGAGAGAGAGAGACACACACAGAGAGACAGAAAGTGAGACACACACACCCCCCAGGGGGGATGGCCACACTGCAATTCCTTCTCTTTCATTCTCTTCTCAGGATCTTGGGCAAGCACGCACATGCGCCCAGCGTGAGTTTAAGCCACTGGGTCCAGGACTCGAACCACAGTCGACTACATAGGAGTCCAGTGAGGTAGCCATTACACCAACTGCTGGTCCCGTCCAGTACTATTCTTTGCCAGCAATTTCCGTTCTCTTCCCTGCCCTCCTGGAGGAGGGCACGTTTCAAGGCCCATTTTCTCTATTTCTTGGACATACTTTGGCAAGACTGATTTCTTTCCTTTGTGCTCCTCTTGTTTTGGGTCCATAACTCAGTTACAGTATAAACCCTCCCATTATAAAAGTAAAATCGCTACCAATTAATGATGGTTATCGTATATGAGCTAGAACCGATGTTGTTTTACACAGATTATTTCATTTCATCTTTCCAATAACCCGGACTTTTATACCCTCACTTTATAGATGAGGAAGCCAAAGCTCAGACTAGTTCAGGAGTCGAACCAAGGCTCTACAACCAGAACACGGAGGCACAGATCATGAGCCACGTTCTTCTGCCTGCAGAACTCATGATCCTGTGTCCTCTTAGAGTTCCCAGGTCCCTGTTAGACCTCCGTATTGAAAGGGTAGGAATTGAGCCGCCTGTTTCCAGTACCTAGGACTGAACAGTCACCTGCTAATAAACAAATGAGTGAGTACGCAAGAAGGAAACACAAGTACTTATCTCTAACAAGGGAATCGTATCCTCAGGCAGAAAAGAACTTTGTACCAGGGACCCAGAGCTCGCTTCATAAATCAGCCTCCCAGAGTGAATGAAGGGAAATAACAAGGAAAACAACTTACAGAGACAGGAAAGAGCACCTACGTTATTTTTTACTTTTAGTGTTCGATTATACCTAGATTCTCTTCAGTACATTTTAAACTGCATTCTTTACAATACGAATCAAATGTTCTATACAGACATAGATGCAATATATGTTTCATGGACTCAAACATCAAATGATTTTTCTGTGTAGTTTAATTGAAAAGAAATGTCTACTAGTGGCTGACAGGTAATCTTAACATGAACTCATACCTTCTGATAGACTCTAGGCTCGGATGCATTATCTTACTTTCCCAGCATCTTAACTATGCCAGGCACAGTCAAATTCTAAAAGCTAATCTACCTTTTTACATCATTTCTGAAATCTTCCCCACTTCATAACTGGGAATGTTCTTGGTAACATGACTCCTTTAAACTCTCAGGTCTTACATGTAAACTGTGAACTCACTCATACCTCCTGTTAGAATTCATGGGTGTCACCTTGTCTTAAAGTGACACGACAAATGGCCGTTTAAGAGAACAGGCCTTTAATTTGGTCCAAATCTTCCCAGTCCTCGTATCTTTGCTACTTCCCCCAGCTCTCTCAAAAGACCCAAATATCTAAATATAGAACATATGCTCTCTTCTGGGCACTGCTATTTTGGTGCACACACACATACACACACACAGCAACTTCCTTGCTCAGCTGGCATTTCATATACAAGCTTAGTCCTCATTTAAGTCAACTCATGCAGTTGTGAGAATAAATTTCCCAGAGGGCACAACATTCAGAAACAGCTTATAGGCAAGAACTATCCATAGCACATGAGTTCTCTCCCTACTGCTGGTTCCCTGGCCGTCTGAGCACCTCACACCCACTCTTGGGTGTGCCTTCCCACAGCCTCTACCGCCTCAAGCCATGGCTCTGCAGGGCAAGGACTGAAGTCTATCTAAAGCTTCCTGTGGTCCCTGAAGACCAGAGGTGCAAAGATCTCTCTGGGTTTGGCAATTCTTTTAAGCAGAACAGGGGTAAAGGAAGCTAGAGATCCAGGCAGTATCCAGGCCAAAGAGTCCCTAGCTTAGGCCTTTGGGCTCATTTTCAGATCAGTGGGAGTCTTAAACTACTACTCTGCAGAAATGAGGATGTCTAAGACAGCATTGGTGATCTTAGAGGAAGACTCTCGTTACAAGAGAGTAGTAGCAATTCTGCTTCACCTCATGCAGCAGAATCTTACCTGCCCTAGGCCCATCATCCCCACAAACAAAATATTCTTTTATCCCTACAGGACCACTAACCTGCTCAAGGCTCAAAGAATAAGGCATCTTGGAGTCTGAAATCTTCACTCTTGCACCTTAAGTCCCCATCATCTGTAAGCTGATGTTCATTCACAGGTAAAACCATCTGTGATGCCTACCAGGAAGAGTTGAACTTTTGCCCCTGAGTGGTTCCATCTGTAATTACGATAGACCAGACAATTATTCAATGGCTCGACATCTCTGATGGCGGAAAGACAGGAAGAGAAAGTGAAATGGTCTTGTATTCACACGAACGTCCACGTTTTACAAGATGACAGGCATATGAGCACCAGGAAAGATACATGATATCTGTGGTCGTGCCCTGACAGCTATGACATCTGAACACAGTGAAGGAAGTGCAGGGCACAGGGCCAGGGATGAAATATGAGAGAGGAGAGGAAGGTCACCTTGAGACTACAGTAATGGACACTTGGCCAAGCTGGCTGTTTTCACTCTAGCCCCTGAGGGTTACGCTTCCGTAACATGCCACCTGTATGTGCTTGATTGACACCGATGCCTAGCCCCTCATCTCTGAAGTCTTGAGGCCACTCTTCTTGGGTAGCTTCCTCTTGCTCGCTGCAGCTATCTGCACTGAACCCAGCGTTCTCTGCCAGGACAGCAGGATCTTCTTCTTCAAGCAAACAGCAGGAACACATTTCTGCCTTTGGGTCACAGGAGGTAGCAGAATGAACTTCCTGGGCTCTGGGGTCAGTGGACAGACTTTCCCAATCCAAGTGGTTGGTTTCTTCCTCTTCTATCACTTCCATTCTTTCAGCCACTTCTTCAGCAGAGGGCTCTTTTGGATCAGGGTAATCCACCAGAATTGTTTCTTGTCTATGCTTAATACAGTCAGAAAGGTCATAAATTGGATAAGTCTCTTCAGGGTAGCCTAGAAAGAAAAGTAGCACAAAGTCTTACAAAGAATGTCTCTTCTAAAAAAAAGGCATCAGGCTCAAAGAGGATTCTCAGACAGCAGCCATCCTATCCTAACAAATCCATTCAAGAAATCTCTAAGACGATTCTAATAGCTTCTAAGTTTCACTTGAGCAAATTCTTAGCAATCTGGCTGACTCTCCCAGTGCTCTTTGAAATACAAACCAATTCAGATGAAAATCCCTTTTTAAGTGTAGGGTGCTTGGGGCAGAGTTAAGTCTCACACCATGGGCTTCTGCAGTACTGATGAAGATTAAACAAATACCATGAGCCTTCAGCTTAAAAAAAAAAAAAAATGCACCAAATACCAGATGGAGAGAGCATAGCTCAAGGCTAATGTTTATCATTTCTATTTGGAACCATTTCCAAATATTCCTGGGTCATGGGAGGGAGAGGAAAGGAAAGCTCATCTCTTTGAAAAAAAAAAAAAAATATATATATATATGCCACAAAGTTTCCTTTTTATCAAAACAATTGAAATGGCTTGCAAGAGGTGGAACAGAGAGGACTCCAGCAAGACACGCCCAAGATCCTGAAGACAGGCACTGCATTTTCAGAAGACTGAATTCCCATTGTTGGCTTCTTCGTCTTCACAAAATGGAACAAAAGAAAACAACAAACTGGTAAACAGAATGAGTAACCCTGGTACTGAATCCTGGCTATGATAATGAGAAAAGAGAAAGTGTTGCCAAATTAAGAAATGAAATGAAATAAATCTGCGTCAGCCAAGCTGCGCCCAGGCAGCAGATGGGCCACGCTGGAGCTCACGTGCCAGCGCTGGCAGCCGCGCCCTGCTCACTACACAACGTGGGGAGCTGGGGATTCAAAATCCATTTGTGCATTAAGATAACTGGCAAATTTGACCTCAAGGAAAGCCACTTTTTACCTACAAATGATGAAAAATAGCTGTTTTTTTAATGCAGTGTACAGTGTACAGAGATATTTTTTTTTACCATTCTCTTGTCCCTGCCTTTAAAGTCATATAGACTCACTGTAGAAAAATCGAAATAGCACAGACAAGTTAAAAAAAAAAATCACCCAGAATGTTCTACTGATACAATTTCCTATATTTTACTTCCTGCCTTTTTACCATAGATAACTGTATTATTTGTCTTCTTCCTTTCTTTTTTAATAAAGAGGGATCATATTGTATATAAGATGTTATACTGATTTCTTTTTATTCAACATGGTATCATGAACATTTCCCCTTAGTCAACATTCCTAGTTAGCCAATAACTTCATTAAAGATAAAAGCAAGCAACAAAAATTCACTACTTCTATAAAGAAATCAGCAGTTCAAAACCATAGACCCACAGGGACCAGCAGGTGGTGTGGTGGTTAAGGTGCTGGACAGTCCCACATGGCCGACCATGGTTCAAGTCCTGGACCTGGTGGCTTACTTTCTTTCTCTCTCCTTCTCTCTCTCTGTGTCTCTCTCTGGTTAAATTAAAATGAACAAATGAATAAAGTTAAATAAATAATTCTTTAAAAAAAAAAAAAAACCCTATAGACCGAAACTAAAAAGTCCCTGATAAATTAGGTTAGTGCAAGAAATAAGAGTTAACATCAATCAACTTAAAATTGATAATTAAAAAAAACAAATTGGGGACCAGCAGATGGCATAATGGTTATGTCGCTGGACTACCACGTAGTCGACTGTGATTTGATTCCTAGACTCAATGGCTTAAAACTCATGTTGAGTGTGGGTACATGCATACCCAAAATCCTGAGAGGAGAATGGAGAAGGGATTGTGGCATGGTGACTTCTCACTTTCTGTCTCTTTGGAGAGCACATGCGCCCCATAGAAAAAATCTTTCTAGAGAAAAAAAATTAGAGCAATCTGGAAATAAGAAAGAGCTATCAGAACTTAATAGTCATAATTACAAAAAATAATTACACTCAAGAAAGAAAATAGCAGATTAAAACTGACATGGCTGGAAACCATATATTAGAAACTCCAGTTGAGAAATTATTTCAGGACAAAGATAAAAATGACAAAGAAATGAAAATTATGAGAAAAAAAGATAAGCTACATGGAAGATGATCCAGGATATCCAATCTCTGAATTACTGTAATTCTAGAATGAGAGTACGGTAAATGGAAGCAATAATCAAAGAAATTGTAGAAGAAATACTGTAGCTGAAGAAAGGTAGGTCTTCATATGGAAAGGATTCATTCAATGCTAGGCTATCAGAATGGTCTGTACCTCAGAAAATACATAAACTTATAAAAAAAATTAAAGATATTGAGTAATGATAATAAGAGAAAGCAAATTTTTCAGCCCGAAAAAGAGCATTCACAAAAAAACCATCAGCCCACATTATACCAAGAAAGAGAGCGAGTGCCGTTAAACTATTCAAGCCTAAAATAGTCGCTGTACTCCCACATTTGGATTACTATGGATAAGCCAAAATCATACACGTTACGCTGTTTTTCTGAGCTGGTTGCTAAGTTATAGCCAATCACACTAGCCACACTTCAGTTAATCACAAAAACCCCGCCTTCTGGGCTGTTTGTGTAGCCTTCCATCCACCAGTAACCAGTCCAATTATTTCTCTACCTCATTCCTTCACTTTTTGTTGTTGTTGTTGTACATTATTTTCCCTTCCTTTTTATAGGACTTAAATACCGAGTCAACCACAAGGCTAGCCGGAGTTGTCCAAAAGTCTAGGGACAACTGTCCGACTTAAATAATTTCAAGATTTGCTCAGTTAAAACTCTAAGGAAGAGAAAAATGGTCTTGTTGATAAACACTCTGATCATCTATACACAACAGAAAATCATAAGGAATCTAATCCTAAAAAAAAATCCGTATTTTAAAAAAATGCTATGGGACCAGCAGATGGATGGCATAATGGTTACGTCACTGGACTCCCACACAGCTAACTGCGGTTTGAGTCTCAGACCCAGAGTTTGAAACTCACGCTGGGTGCCTGTGTACGCACGCCCAAATCCCAAAAGGAGAATGGAGGTAAAAGGATTGCAGCATGGCCCTCCCCAGAGGGTGATTTCTCACTTTCTGTCTCTCTGGTAAGTGCATGTGCCCTATAGCAAAAATCTCTCTCTCAAAAAAAAAAAAAAAAAGAAAAAAAAAAAAAGAAAGAAAGAAAGGAAAAAAGCTTTATGAACTAAGTTTTAGCAAGGTCACGATATGCAAGTCAGAATATAAAAATCAAATGTATTTGGGCCAGCAGATGGCATTGGAGTTACGTCGCTGGACTTTCATATGGCCTACTGCAGTTTAGTCCCAGACCTGGTGACTTGAAAATCATGCTGGGCACGTGAGTATTCGTGCATGCCCAAAATCCTGAGAGGAGAATGGAAAAGGGACTGTGGCATGGCCATCCCCTCTGGGGAGTGATTTCTCACTTTCCCTCTCACCATTTCTTTCTCCAGCAAGCACCTGTGTCCTAAGACAAAAATCTCTAAAATAAGAAAAAAAAATCAACTATATTTCTATATGGCAGCAACAAACAAAAAATTTAAAGTAACATTGATGACATCATAAAATAGGGATAAATTTTTTTTTTTTTGGAGAGATTTTCACTGTAGGGCGCGTGCGCTCGCCAGACAGACAGAGAGAGACATAGAGACAGAAAGCGAGAAATCACCCCCCAGAGGGGATGGTCACGCCACAATCCCTTCTCCTCCATTCTCCTCTCGGGATCTTGGGCACGCACGCACATGCGCCCGGCGTGAGTTTTAAGCCACTGGGTCCGGGACAAGAACCGTGGTCGACTACGTGGGAGTCCAGCGACATAGCCATTACGCTAACTGCTGGTTCCCAAAATAGGGATAAATTTATAAAACATGCAAGACCTATACACTGAAAATTATAAAACACTGCTGAGGGAAATTTAAAAAATAAACTGAGAGAGATAATGTGTTCATGAAATGGAATATTCAATATTGTTACAATATTAATTCTTTGAAATTGTTATCTAGAGATTTAATGCAGATATATAGATAAACAGAACAGAACAGAGTCCAGGATAGACACACATACACGGTCAACTGATTTTCAATCAATGTGCTAAGATAATTAAATGTAACAAACAGAACTGGGTATTGATATAGAAAAAAAAGCCACATAACTCAGTTCTGACACTTTATTATCTATAAAAAATGAACTCAAAATAGATCAGAGACCTAAATGTCAGAACTAAAACCATTTCTAGACCAAAACAAAGAAGTTAGGCTAATCTTGGATTAGGCAAAGATTTCCTAAACAAACCAAAAAAAAAAAAAAAGGGAATTTTAAAATGAATTTTAAAAGAAAGAAATTTGACTTCTAGAAAACTTCTGTTCTTTGAAAGATGCTATTAAGAAAATAAAAAGGCAAGTCACAGATTAGGAGAAAATATCCACAAAATAAATAACTGATAAAGGATGTATATACAGAACATATAAAGAACTCTTACAACTCAGTAAGACTATTATGAACCCAATTAAAAAACTGGCAAACAATTTGAATAGATACTTCACCAAAGACAGACAGATGGAAGTAAAAATATAAAGAACTGTTCAACACCGTTAGTAAATGAGGCAGTATGAAATAAAGGCATAATTGAGATACCACTATACACTCAATAGAATAACTAAAATAAAAAAAGACTGACAATACCAAGTGTTAGTGAGGATGTGGGCTAACTGCAATTCTCATACACTGCTGGTGGGAAGACAAAATAGTAGAATCACTTTGGCATGACAGTAAAAGTTAAATATGTACTTACCATAAAACCCAGAAATCTTACTCCTAGATATGTGCCCCCCAAAAAACAAATATAAGTCCAAACAAACACTTTATGCAAAAATTCACAGCAGCTTGATTCATTATAGCTAAAAGATTAAGAATAAATAAACAAACAAACAAACAAACAACAACAATATAAAGATAGAAACAATCCAAATGTTCCTCCACTGATGAACAGACAAATTAGGGTATATCCATATAACAAAACACTACTCAGCAAGAAAAGAAAAGAAAAAAAAAAAAAAAGAGCTACTGATACATTCAGTGACACACATGAATCTCAAAGGATTCTGCTAAATAAAGGAAGACAGAAACTAAAGAGCATATGCAGTATGAGTCACTTACATAGAAAAGGCAAAACCGTAGGGACAAAAAGCTTAGCTGTTGCCAGGGGCAGGAAGAAGGAACTTTCTGGGGTCATGAAAATATCCTGTATCAAGATTGTAATATGATTGCGCATTTGTCTAAACGTATCCAACTGTACACTTAAATGTGGTGAAAATTACTGTATATGTTATACTGTTGTTAATAAGGCTGATTAAAAAAAGATAGAGTTGATCAGACCAGTAGATAGCGCGGTGGTTAAAGTGCTGGATGCCACGTGGCTTACTGCACAGTTCAAGTCCCAGACTGGCAGCCTGTGTGCGTCTGTGTGTGTGTGTGTGTGTGTGTGTGTGTGTGTGTGTGCCCAAAATTCTCAGAGGAGAATGGAGGACGAGGGATTGTGGTCTGACCATTCCCCTTGACAAGTGATTTCTCACTTTACTTCTTTCACTCTCTCTCTCTGTATGTCTCTCTCGATAAGCACACGTGCTCTATAGCAAACAAACAAACAAATAAAGCTGATTCTAAAAATGCGTAACAGCTCTTTTCTGGGTAACAGCTAATTAAAAAATGAAAAGACATTTTTTTTTTACCTTCCCAGTCCTCCATATAAGGCATCTCCTCAGCTTCTTTCTCTGGAGTGGGTCTGTCAATGAATTTTCCTTCTTTCATGACCCTAGTAATTTCTCGGAGCTGATGCAGCAACTGTTTCTCTTGGTCAGAAGTCACAGTCGGTGCTCTGCTTAGAAATATCAGACAACCCAGGCATTTAGTGGTAAATAGGCCACGGACAAACATCACTATCGTCTGTCTGGATCCTAGAATAGGCAGTCCAATAGCAGCAGACAATTATTCTAGGAATTGATCGTTAAATGGCAGAGCAGGGAACTAGACATGTTAGTTCAATGGTTTGATTTTACAAATGGGAAAACCAAGGCCCATGGGACTAGCAGTTAGCATAATGGCTATGTCGCTGGACTCCCCTGTACTCCACCGTGGTTCACGTCCCTGAGCCAGTGGCTTAAAACACGCCAGGCGTGTGTGCGTGTGTGCCCAAGATCCTGAGAGGACAATGGAGGAGAAAGGATTGCGGCGTGGCCATCCCCCCTGGGGGGTGATTTCTCGCTTTCTGTCTCTCTGTCTGGCGAGCGCACATGCCCTATAGCAAAAACCTCCTCCCCCCCCCAAAAAAAAAACAAAACCAAGGCCCAGAATAGACTGAGTGAATGCCCACAGTCCTGCAATAAGTTAATGTCAGTACTGGGACTAGGCCCTAGACGTCTCAGCTTTCGGTTCAGTGTTTGTTCAGTATATCTTGCTGCTCTTAGTCTCTCATCCTCTAGCAATTTCACTGTTACTCACCTTAGTCCATTTACTACAAGCTTTTCCATAAAGCAAGGTCATAGAAAAAAAATTTTCAGGGCCATTAGCCTCAACCAGGTAAAAATTTGCTTCTAGAATCACCATGTTTAATCTACCTGTGCAAGGAGGAAGACATGTTCTAAAATTTCAGAGCTGGATAATTCTGAAAATTCAATCATCAGGACTGGAGAAACTGGGGAAGCTTAAGTTCATAGAGGAGAAATGGCATATGTATTCATTTCGCTCGCTAAAAGAAGCACTATAACTAAAATTAAAGTCTCCTGCTTTAGGATGGCATTCTGTGCAATTGTGAAGCTCAGTGCTCAAGTCCTAAAGTTTAGAAGACCTGGGTTGAGTCCCAACTTAGCTGTCCAGTTCTGAGCAAATGTCTGCAAAAATAACATGAGGCTTAAGGATAACAGCATGCTTATTTTCTTCAAGAGGCAAAGCACTGCTTCATACTGACGGCAGATGAGGCTCTATTCAGAAGACTGGGAGCTCGTTGCTTTGAGACCACTTAGTGGTAGGATTTAACAGAGGCTATTTATCCTCCTCCTGAAAACTCCTATCATTCTAAGTTAATATAATACTTCTGCAGGAAAAATGATGCATTCTGTATCAGCCTCATGGAGGTGCCACCATTTTTCTAACCAGCCAGTTCTGAGACTGCATTCTTTCTTGTCCTCAACCTAACAAACATTGTCCTTAATGACCAACGAGGGGGGAAAAGTGGTTTTCCTTTCAGCCTTAAGAGGGCAACAGAGGAAAATGAAGATGCAACACTTCCACAGACCTCAACAGGAGGAAACCAAAACACCACAAGCTCTGCTTCCTTCACACTCAATGGCTTCAAAGTCAAACTGAAGAAGCCTGCCTATTCTACCCTCAGCTAAAATCCTGTACTTACAAGGGCCTCTTAAAGCTCTATTCTTCCCACTGGTACATGGGTCCGGACTCACCACAACTGTTTGTGTGCCCCATGAAACCCCTAATTCTCACTATTAAATGGTTCACTTTGTGAGGGACTTTGGGGGAGACTAGGAGAGCCTACTTGCCTATCACAGACCTCTTCCCCTCATGCTGCACCGTCGCTCTCTCCAGACTATGCAGAGGAGATTCTGATCTTTACTCAACACAACGATCTGCCTTTCTGTTTCCTAATGCCTGAAAAATCAGCAGCTCTTCACTAACAGGGGATGGCTAAGCTAGAAACAGGAACGGACTAGCATGTCCTCAGAGAGTTCCAAGCTAAAAGTTCTTTTAACCCTGAGCAAGGGTATTCATATTGCCTATACCATCCATTAGGCAATTAATCATGGTCTACTTGATGACACCTTCTGAATTTACTGCAATGAATTTTCATGCACTCCTTACTGTCTCAGTTTGGTCTTACTCCTAGAAGGCAGCGATAAGCTGACGATGGTATAGACCCAGCACTTTGATCACTCTTGAGTGCTCAGTAGCTATATTTGATTGGTCCCCATTTCCTCACCATCCATTGTTTTCCACACCCCTGAAATCTGGCTCTCATCCCTATTATTTTACCAAAACATGCAAAAATCAATGACCACTTTACTCCTCAGTTCAATGGTGTATTTTTCTCACATTCAGTTCTTGACTTCTCTATACTGTGGACCATCTTCTCCCTGATTCTGCCATTTTCCTTAACTACTGAGACATTTGTCATCCTTTCACTTTAACCATTCCTTTGATTTCTGATTCACTTTCCTGCTCTCACCTTTGGTTTTTCCCAAAGGCTCAATCCTAGGACTCTCATTTCTCTATTCTTATAATCATGCCCTCAGGAAGCTACACCAGCTTTCTGATTAAACTATCACCCCCCTACACAGCTTAAACTACTACCTCTACACAGATTAGCCCATCACCTCTACACAGAAGGTGTCCTGACTCTGCCTTTAGCCCATCATAAGTCTAGTTATCTCCTGATCATTTTCACTTGGAGGCTTTGCCAGTACATTACAATGAACCCTAAATTCGGCCCTCTAAACCAGGTGCCAATTGGCCCAGGATCATAAGCAAGTGCATAAGCAGGCAGGCCAGGAGGGTTAGTATGGCAGATTCCAAGATGCTAGAAGAATGAAAGGTCACAATGGGAGATAACCTCACCAGACTTTCAACATTATAAAACCAGAGAAGTCACGAAGTTCTGAGTCCAAGAGTTAAGTATAGTGAGAATGAAATAGAACTTCAACACCATGGTTAGAACAGAAATCAGACTGGGGCCAGGTGGTGGCACAGTGGTACTACAACTGGACCCACATGGGAAAGGTCCTGAGTTTGTGTCCTGGGACCTCCCTGTGCATGCCAACTGAGACAGGAGGTGGATGGTAGCAGGAAGGTCCTGTCAGGGGCACCTGTCTGTCTGTCTGTCTGTCTCTCATAATAAATCAAAATAAACAAACAACAACAATTTTTTTAAAAAAAGAGCAGAAATTAGACCAGCAAGAGAAGACTGTAGCCTAATATAGCAGAGGCCTCAAAAGAGGGGTGATCTCATCTTTCCCCATGGCCTTTATCTCTTAACTCCAGTCAAATGACTTCGGAACCTGTCCTGACCTCAAGACCCTAAGTTCCTACTGCTGGTGTATATTTAACACAGTATTTTCTGATGGAATCTCAATCATACTCAAAGATGAACTCAAGATCTCTATCCCACATGTAAGGAGGATTAGGCTGTAGATAGAATGAAGTCTGCTAATCAGTGGACTTTATACTAGGAGCTGAGGCTATACTAGGGAGCTCATCTGAGAGGGTACAATGTAATCACGAACATACTTAGAAGTGGAAGGGAGGCCAGCCTGTGGACTGGTGGTTAAGGTGGCTGGCTCCCACAAGGTCAACTGAGCAATCCAGGTCCCAATCCAGTGGCTTGAAAACATGTAGGTGCAAGTGTGCCCAAAATCCCAAAAGGAGGGAGGAACAGAAACGGGACTGTGGCGAGACCATTGCCAATGAGGTGCTTTCTCGCTATCCCTCTCCCTCTCTCTAGCAAGCAAATGTTATCCCTGGCAAATTTTTATTCAAATGTGGAAGAGGGAAGCAGAAGAAGACAGAGTAATATAATGTTAGATGGTCTCAACCCACTGTTGTTGCCTCTGAAGTCAAAGAATGTGGGAGCTTCTCTAAGCTAGAGGGCAAGAAAGCAGATTCTCCTGCAAGGCCTTGAAACTCACGATGGGTGCATGGGTATGCGTGCCCAAGATCCCAAGAGGAGAGTGGAGAAGGAGGGATTGCGGCATGGCCATCCCCCCTGGAGGGTGATTTCTCGCTTTCTGTCTCTCTGTTTCTCTCTGTCTTTCTGGCGAGTGCACACGCTCTATAGCAAAAACCTCTCAAAAAAAAGCACTGTATTCCAACATGTGGCTTTACTTAAACTCTGCTTTTTTTTTTTTTGACAGCTAGGAAACTATCTTCCTTAAAACTTAGTTATTTCATCCTGCAAATTTTCTCACTCTCACAATATTTGTACAACACTAAACTCAAAAAATAAGATTGCCTGATAATATGAAAATGAAAATGTTAAGTGAAAAAGAAGGTGTAATGATAAATAAGTTGACAATTCTATAGGAAGTTCATGGGAAAATATAATTAAAGTATGACTTTATTTTGGTATAAAATATTTTAAAGCCCATGCATATTTGTTCATAACACACATTTTTTTTAAGAAATTTCTGGAAGAAAATGAAAATAAACGGTCCACATATCAATGAAAAGCAAAATTTCTATTTGATTCTCTAAATGGAAAATAGTCTGAGTCCTATTAGATAAAAACCTACCTCTCACCATTAGGTCCCATTCTGTTGATTAGTTTTTCCATGGCTTCCTCTGTCTCCTTCAGCTTTTCTTGCAGTTGAGCAAGCTCAAAATTGGCTGAAAAATAAACATCAGTCTAAGAATCAGCCCTTTCATGCAACACAGCTAGCTATAACACTCTGCAATAATCCAGGCTGGTTCTGAGACTCAGAGAAGAGACTCGGAGCCTCTCCAATTAATCCAATCAAGGCAAGAAAGGATATGGAGGTCTGGCACCAAGTTCTATGGGATGAACAAGCCACTCATTCCTATATCTAGAAATATAGCAAGCCAGACTAAAGAAAATACCCAGGAGTGAAAGACATTCCTATAGTCACCCAAGGAAAAATGCAGAAGTACCCTTTAAGATCCAAATAATGTTTGACAGTAACATACCAAATCTAACAGGTACTTTATAAAAGGAATTAAAACCCTGAAATGAACAATCTTTCACCTACACCCAAAGTCTAAAGACATATCTGAAAGTTCACAGTTTACACTTTCCATTCCTACAACAGAGGGAGTCTGGGGCTGAGACCTCGCTGCCTACAGTTTCCTACCCTGGATATCTGGCAACATGGTTAAAGAGGGAACCGTGCTATGGTGTAATTAGACTTGAATTCTCATAATGCTTTTGCCAAGTCCCTTCTTTCTAGGTAGTAAACTTTTCACAGGTTACTTTTCCTGACATTTAAAATCTAAGAGGAAAGGGTCATGATGTATACATTTCATCTCCCCGGAGAGCACAGAATATCCTAGTTGGGCAATACGTATTAATGACCGTGTTTCAAGAGTCAGGAATATTTCTATAGATCTAATAGCCAATTTTGGCAATAACATGGTTTCTCTGCCTCAATTTTCCTCTCTGTAAAATAAAGATATTTGCTACCAATATTTTCAAGTCTAGATGAGAGGAACAACCCATTTCAAATGTGAAATAGAATATGCTGATATACAAAAAAAAGGAATTGTTGGTTTTGCACATTTTGTAGCTCTCCCTCTTTTAAAAGCCCAGTATCAACATGGAAACTTTTGAGAATTCCCAGAGCTAAGGTAAAAATGGCATCAGATTAATTTGGAGCAACTTTTGAGAAATGCTTTTAAGACATACCCGCAGACTGTCCCTGTGGCTGTATTAGAGCTTTCTGACTCGATAACCTTGTGAATGCACTAAGAAGGGCACTTACTAATCTTCCTGTGGGTGTTTCCAGGTGTGGCACTAGAGAATTTCCGATCCTCTGCAGTGGTTTTCCCCTTTGAGAGCTGAGAATTGAAGTAGGTATAGCACATCAACAGCAGCTCAGAACCTCAAGTCATGGAACCCCTCATATTAAATGAAAAAAAAAAAAAGTTGTGAGACAAAAATTAAGTCAGAAATCAAGTCAAATACCAACAGCAGAGAAATACTTCCCAAAAAAAGCCATTAAAAGATTAAAAGGTTTCGTTGATGATGACATGTATAGTATTCTCAACTGGACTGGTCTGGGAAGTATTTCATGATGGGTGAAGTCTTTTAACAAGCAAAATGAGAAATAGTGATTGACTATTTTTAAAAAAATTATAATAATAATAATTATTGGGAAATGCATGGAAAAGACATTGAATGATAAAGCGGGGAGATTGATGTCTCTGTATTGACCGACATGCATGGCATTCCCTTTTGAAAAAGCAATGGAAGTCAATGTAAAGTTATATGTAATCCAATGTAATATAAAGAAGATTATGATGATAATATAAATAAAAAAAAAGATTAAAAGGTTTCCAAGTAAAAAATTATCAAGCTACAAGGAAAAAAATCTCCCTATAGGTCATTGCTTTACCCACGCTCATCTAAAAGCAGATGTGAGGCACCACTGGGATTCTTATAGACTCAACTCAGAACACCTGCAGAATTTCTGAGCAAAAAGAAGCTCATCTTAAGGACCAGCAGATGACATAATGGTATGTTGCAGGACTCCCACGTAGTTGACCATGGTTTGAGTCCTGGACCTGGTGACTTAAAACTCACACTGGGTGTTTGTGCGTATGTACCCAAGATCTTTAGAGGAGAATGGAGGAGAAGGAATTGCAGCATGGCCATCCCCCCCCCTTGGGGGTAATTCCACTCTCTCTCTCTATCTCTCTCTCTCCCCCTCTCTCTCATTCTGTTACTCTTTGGTCAAATTAAAAATAAATAAAGTTCAATAAAAGTACATGAGACTGAACTGGTGAAATAGCATTTTAAAAAAATAAGCATGAGTTTTTGTAAAATTTGTTCACCAACCCTTACTCTAGTTAGGAAGGCAAATTGAAGCTTCTACCTCTACTTCACAATGCATAGGCCCATGGTCTGCAAAAGCCTGCTGGGAAGTGAGACTTAATTGGGAGTTTGCTTTTAATGGACTCAAACCATGTTTCTGCAGAAGCAGAAAATATCAGGTTTACTTTTAGACATGATAGCTATTAGAAAAATTGTTGGTGCTGATATTAATAACAGCATCTCAGGTCTGGCAAATGGCAAACGGTTATGTCACTGGACTCCTATTTGGCCAACCACAATTTGAGTCCTGGACCTGGTGGCTTGAAAATCATGCTGGGAGTGTATGCATGTGTGCCCAAGATCCTGGAAGGAGAATGAAGGAGAAGAGATTGCAGTGTGGCCACTCCCCCGGGGGGGGGTATGATTTCTCACTTTTCTTCTCACTGTCTCTCTCTGGTAAGGGCATGCATCCAAGGGCAAAAACTTCTTGAAAAACAAAAACGACAACAAAAAACAGTATCTCAAACAGGTTGAGCATCCCTAATTGAAAAATATTAATGCTCCAAAAGTGAAGACATTTTGAGTGCTGGTATCATGTCACAAATAGAAAATGCCACAGTTGATCTCATATGACAGGCTGCAGTCGAAACACTGCAGTTTATAAATATTGTATAAAATTACCCTCATGCAGGCCCAGCAAGTGCTGTGGTAGTTAAAGTGCTAGAATCCCACATGGCCGACTGTGGTCTGAGTCCCAGACCCAGCGGCCTGAAAATCCCATCAGCACATGTACATGCCTGACCAGTTCCGAGAAGAAACTGGAGAAAGGACTGCAGTGTGGCCATTCCATTTGGGGGTGGGGGGGATTTCTCACTCTCCCTCTCTCTGTCTCTTCCCAATGACTATAGGCGCCCTATTAAAACAACAACAACAACAACTTCGGGCTATGTGTGTACGGTTCACATGAAATATAAATAAATTTCATGTTTAGATTTGTGTCTCACATTCAAGATATCTCATTATATATAATGTACATATTCTAAAATCCAAAATAAATCTGAAATCTGAAACATTGTTGGTCCCAAGAATTTCAGACAAGGGATACTCAGCCTGTACTCCTGTGGGGGCGGGGGCAGGGAGACGAAGTAGGGCTGAAATCGCCATTATTTGGTTACTTGAACATCACGGTGATAATCCTAATGATAAAGGTGTTAACACATCTTTATGCCTTTGCAGCATACGGAGATACTCAGTCAAATGCTTTGTTTTATTCAAGAGGGGGAGTTTTGAATTATATCACTCTAAATTAGAAGCCAAAAGATCCAGGTTCGAGTTGTTTGCAAATTCTTGGGCAAATCACTTAAAACTCTGTGTAAACATTTCTCATTTATAAAACTAAAATAACAGCTATCCTAAGTACCTCATGAAGAGGAGACAAGGTTTAAAGAGATGATGGATTGGAAAGAGCTTTATGAACTGTAAAGCGTTTCAGTGCAGATGATCTGTATTGCCAGCAATATTAGATTTTCATTGATATAATATGATTAAGATAATTCCACTTACCTTAAATAGAATGTATAGTATATACAAAAATATTCCAAAACCATAGATTGGAATAATCTGTCCCATCAGGCCTCTTCCACTACCTCCTCCTCCAGTGCCTCCACCTGATCCTTTGGCCTTTGAAAATGCCTCTGCAAGGTGAGACCTCTGGAAACGAGACCCGGGGGTCTGGCCATCTGAGGGTGCCTGGTGATGATGCATCATAGGTGGAAATCGGCCCAACTTTCCTGAGAAAATAAATTAGTCAGTCTTTATCTCTGTTTTCTGTTGCTTTAAATATGGCTGTTAGGAAAATACCTCATGCACCAAGCCAACTGAAACAACACAACACATCACACATCAAGCCAACTCAAATAAGTTCCACAATAAACACTGATTAAAAGGATATATAGGTATTATATAGATACTAAATATGGTGTGATATCTCTCATTGATCTCTACACCTCTTTTCTCTTTCTTCTGGGTCCATAGCTAGACCTGTTGTCTCACATAGTGATGTGTGGCAACATGGCTGAGTTCCGCCCAAGGGAATGTGAGTGACTGTGCTAGTTCAAGGTCTGGCCGATGAAACCTCCCATGTATCCAACACCACAGGTTAAATTCACCCTTTCTGCACAACAGATGCTGCCACCCAGCGAGACCTTGGAAGTCATGTCCTAAAAACAGCAAAGCCTCCATCAACCTGCATTTCTGAATAACTACATGGCACAGAGCTTCAACTGCTCCCACTCCACTAACTTGGAGCCATTTGGACCTCTTCTCATGAGTGAGAAATAAACTTCTATTGTGTTAGGACCATTATACACTTTGGATTCTATCTGCTACAGAAGTTAACCACCTCTAACTAATACAAAAAAAGGAAATGCAATGTGTTCTCAGGAGAGAATGGAACCAGAAATTGGAAAGCCATCAGAATCTGGGACAGCTACAATACTTTCACATTCTAGCTCAGCTTCTCCCTCTCTGTGGGGCCATAAGGCTTTTTTCTTTGCTTCTATGTACATCTTCTTCATTCTCCTTTCTCTGTAGACCATTTCTCCAGCTTCTTTGTGTGCATAGCAGAAGACGGCCACTCCAAAACTCCTGATTTACATGTTGGTCCTAATTCCCAATTCCTTGGAGGAAGACTGAATACTCAGCTTTCCAGTGCTATGCATTCCTTTCCAATCAGCTAGAGCTGAGCAGACAGGATTCATGTAGACAGACAAGGCAAAAGAGCCCAACCCTGGGAGAGAAAGAGCGGTGCTTAGAGAAAGGAGGGAGGGGGAAGTACATCCATTTTCTTCTCTTTTTTCTCCATCAAGAGCAGCCAAAAGTTAACACCAATTGCCAAGCTTCCTGAGAACCAAAGGCAAGGAAGAAAGGAAAGACATCTCTTCAAAAGGCCATGTAAACAGTCTTGTATGAAAACCACTGGGAAGTAACACTATTAGACAGGAAACACTATGAAGCAAAATAACTTCATAAATAAGACTCCATGGTTAAAAAAAAGAAAAAAAGTTGGATTTTTGTTTAACAAAGAACACCATGGGGACCAGCAGATAGCATAATGGCTATGTTGCTGGACTCCCATGTAATTGACCATGGTTCAAGTCCTGGACCTAGTGACTTAAAACTCATGCCAGGCACATGTGCGTGTTTGCCCAAGATCCCAAGAGGAGAATGGAGGAGAAGGGATTTCAGAATGGCTATCTGCCTTGGGGCGGGAGAGGGGGGGTGATTTCTTGTTTTCTGTCTCTCTCTGTCTCTCTAGCAAACACACACACACACACACACACACACACACACACACACACTACAGCAAAAGTCTCTCTAAATAAAAAAATAAATAAGAACACCGTGAACAGTATTAAGAGAAATGACAGTCAAGCAAAAGATTTTATGACATATAAAACTAGCAAAGGGTTAAATCTCTATAATACACAAGGAGAGACTATAATTCACTAAGAACACCACAGGAAACCAGCAGGAAAATGGTCAAAAGATACAAGTAGGGAACTTAGAGAAGGGGGAACCTAGATGGCTGACACGTATATAAAATCAAAGTAAGATCAACAAGTAAAATTAAAATTAAAACAGTGAGTACTTTATATGCAGCAGAAGGGTAAAAACAAGAAAGGTGGATAAGAGCAAAGGTTGGTGAAGACGTGAGGAGGCAGGAATTCTCATGCACTGGTGCTAGGCGTGTAAACTGGCACAGACACTCTGCCAAGTCGTGGCTATACTTGGTGACATTAAGTATGTATGAGCCAGTGATTCCACCCTGGTGGAAGACATCCCAGAAAAATTCTCAAAAAAGGTTATGTAGGGGAATACCAGGCTTTTCAGAGTTGTGTGTGAATGTTAACTGTGACAATGTTGAGATTGAACTTGAAGGGAGCTTGAAGTAACTTTGACTTGCACGGTTGGAAGAATGTAAAACAAAAATGGGATGGACATGACTGTGGAATTTCTGTTTTTTAAGAATTATTTTATGTATCACTATTAATTCTTTTTAAATTTGCTATAGGGCACATGTGCCCACCAGAGAGAGAGTGAGCGAGTGGGAAAGAGAGAAAGCAAGTCACTAGGTCTGGGACTCGAACAGCAGCCAGCCATGCTGGAGAACAGCCTTAACCACCATGCCACCTGCTGGGCCCTAACCATGGAATTCTATGTGGCTTTTATAAACTACACTTCAGATGGATCTACAGCAACATGATCTTACAAAGCAAAGGATTGAGTAGAAAAAGAAAAAAGCAAACACTATCACGTAAGTTGAAGACACATGCCCTGTTACGTATCTTTTGAGCACATATGCAGGCACAAAGCACATTGCACGCATAAAACAAACACCTTAGAGGAAGTGCACATGAGGAGCGAAGGGAATAGACTGTGCATAGAGGATAAAGAGCTGGGAAAAAAAAATCTAGAGAGGAACCTTGCACTGAAAAAGTTAGTAAGGTGGTATGAACCAAGGACTATCTTCAAGTCAACCCTGCTCCTAGGTAAGAAGATGGTGAGTAGGCAGGGAAGTAAGACAGCCAGCGACTGGGCCTAAAAGCCGTCTTCTTCCTTGTATCCTCTCTCAGTTACACTCTACTCCAAAAATTCTCCTTTCCTTTCCAATATTCCCTTTGGATGATGTGGAAATTATGTTAAGAAATGCTTCTTTTAAAGAGTGGGTCAGCAACAGACACACAGCTTCAGACAGTAAAAGAAGAAAACCAGGTCGCCATCATTATTCCGAGTGCTAGTGACTGTCTCTTTAAATCGTCAAGGATCTTAACATAATAATGGTAGGTATAGGCTATATGGCTATTTTACACCTTCCAAAAAAAAAATGCCTTCCCAGCATCCAGGAAGCTAACCTTTCTATTGAGAGAATCTGATTTACCAACGGGCCACTGTTCAATAAACCAGATTGCATATCTAGAGTAATATGTTGTTGAACTTCATTTTACTGGACTGAGAACACTATCTTCAAAACCTGGCATAAAACAAAAAATTAAAAATTAAAGCCAGCTAATGACATAAAAAGCATTATTTTGCATTTCTAAAATTAAATAATGATGATGCTGAGCATTACTTCTCTCCCCAAAAACTTTCAGAGATCTGTCAACCAGGAAGATTTACTGGATACCTATTATATTCTAGCCTCTACTGTTCATAGGAAAGGAAGAGAGCCATTATAGAAATAAGTTTCTAAGTGTGACAATACTTTTGAATTGTTAGCGGGTGTGTGTGCGTGCTCGTCAGAGAGAAACAGAGAGAAAGAGAGAGGGGCTTGGTCACACCTCAATCCCTTCTCCTCGATTTCTCTATCATATCAGGATCTGGGGTATGAATGTGTCCTGGTGTGTTTTTCATCATTTGAGGTCAGCCATTTGAGATTCAGCTCCCTTAACCACCAGGCTACAGGGCTGGCTCTGGAATGTTACCTTTAAAAAGCAGTATATTCAAAACACAGACACAGACAACAGCAGCAGCAGGGTATCTTGGATCTTAATACTAGACAAACTAAATGTTTAAGAACTGAGAAGATACAATGTTTTTGTTTGTTTGTTTATTTGTTAAGGAGAAGAGTCAAATCATTGAAGGGGGTTAAGATTCAAAACACCAGAGAAGAAAAGACATGCCAGGAGAAAAGAAAAGTGTGTAAAGGATAAAAGAGATTGAGCAAAGGACTGACTCTGTTGAATATCATCAGATAAGAAACTCAGTGATTCCCCCAAGAAGTTCATGACATCTCTGCATCTCTCTATTGGCAGAACTATCTTCTTTACATTGAGTTGATGAGTAAGAAAGGAAATACAAAAAGTGGTTGGAAAAAGCAACACAATGAATTATGCAGAGGAAAGAAGTATAGAAATATATATGAGAGTTGATTAAGAAGAGGGTTATTGAAGGACTAGCAGATGGTGTAATGGCTACGTTGCTGGACTCCCACGTAGCCAACTGTAGTTTAAGTAAACTGTAGTTTAAGTCCTGGACCCAGTGGTATAAAACTCAAGCCGGGTGCATGTGCATGTGTGCCCAAGATCTTGAGAGGAAAATGGAAGAGAAGGGATTGTGGTATGGCCATCCCCCCATGGAGGGGAGCACTTCTCATTTTCTGTCTCTCTGTCTCTCTCTCTCTATTTCCAGTGAGCGCATGCGCCCTACAGCAAAAACCTCTCTAACAAAAAAGAAGAAGAGGAAGAAGAGGAGGAGGAGGGGGAGGAGGAGGAGGAGGAAGAAGAAGAAGAAGAAGGTTATCAGTAAAGAAACCTGTATTAGAATTAAAAAGGGGGCCAGTAGGTGACGTGGTGACTAAGGGTGCTGGACTCCCACACGGCCAACCACTGTTTGAGTCCTGGACCTGGCTACTTGCTTTCTCATTCCCTCCCCCCTTCTGTCCTTCTCTGGTCAAATTAAAATAAATAAATAAATAAATACAGTTAAAGAAAATAATTTAGAAAAAAATTACAATGGATTAAGAAAATGTTATTGAATTGATTAAGAAGGGTTAAGTAGCAAATACTATTTTCAAAGGCAGGAGTGGGATTTGGAAAGCAATGGAACATATAAACTAGATAGTAAAAGTATATTTTATATACTGAGAAATAGAAATGAAATCTGAGGACTTCATATTTGATATAATGGTTACCATATTTACTACTAAATACTTAGCTATGTGCCATGCACTGTTTTAGACAGTGACATTAAAATAATAAAATAGAGTCCCTGTCTTTAAAGAGTTTACAGG